CGTGGCCGGCGCGAAAACGGCCGAAAATGCCGAAATGCTTGGGCATAGGAGCCCCTTTGGAAGAGAGACTGTCCAGGTGCCTGACCTCCTCAGAGGTTGAAATTACAGGTACCATGACACTGTGCAGCCATTGCATAAAACAGGTACATTCAACATATCCCCAAATAGCTCAGATCTGGAGTGCACATTATTACTGAATGGCACTCAGATCACACACATACAGTTCAATTGCCATGGAGCCAAAGTCTTTCCCGTAATCTTTCATTATACGAATGGGCTCCATGGCATAGCTATCTGGGGTAACACCGCTCAAACAGGGCAAGCACCGAATGACCTGGCTTTCGTGTCTTTGCAGGGGAAAATCAAATGTTTCAACATGGGGCCATAGTCTAAAGGGAGCAGGCGGGCAACCAGGCTCCTCCAATGCAATGTGGCGAGATTGCTCTCGTCACACTCACTAACAGCCATTTTGAGGGAGCATGCATGTTTTTGGTGATGACAAAACACACCTCTTATTTTACTGCTCCTTAAACTTTACTGCTACTTAAATGCCCAGACCAAACCGTCCTCCCCCCCCCCCAGTTCTTTGTTGCCAGAGTAGGCAGGGAATCAGCCTACGAAACTAAGGCCCTAGTGGCCTTGTTAGCTGTCAGAACACCTCCATGTGTGCCTTATCCGTGATCTGATGTTGATAGGAATTTGCAAATGGTAACAGATAGTATCATTTGTATTGAGCAGGAGTTCGGATTTGTTCTGTTACAGTTGCACTGATCTGGATGTTACTCACAGTCTCCATGTGACCCAAGGTTGTCTCAATTCTGAGCTATTAAATGTTTGGCACAGGAACCTGACTATCGCTGGCTGGTCTCCAGCACGGTACATGTAAGATGCCTTTAGTTGCACTGTTCAAAGACTGATGTCTATGCTCAGTAATATCAAAGAAGAACCAAATCCATAGTCTTTCATCGTTATTTTCTGAAACAAGAATCGTCCGGAATTCAAATTAAATTTTACATTTTAGACCAAAAAACTATTCTGGAAACATAACTGACTTGGGAAAACTGATATAGAAGGCCACCCTGTCTGCAAATACTAACAATATAAGTGGGAAGAGGACATACCAAGACTTGAAGCAGTAGTAAGATGTAAAGACCATTAGATTATTTAACTAAATCCTGGAGTTACATAGGCTAAGAATTTATTTTATTGTGAAATGTGTCTAACTGCACTGTATAATTTAAGGGCTGTATGTTAGTAAATATATACATTGATATATGCTTAGAAATTCATTTTTTGTAAGAGGGTGCTGACAGTACTGTATAATTGATGTCCTGTGTAATGGTAAAAATACACACTGATGTATATGGCTGGAAAATCTTTTATTGTAAAATGTTGCTAACAGCACTGTATAATTTATGGGCTATGTATGTAAAAAGACATGACTAAATGAACCACTCTCCATTTGTATGGCCATGACAGATTACCTCTTTCAACGTTGCAATGCAACAAATTCATGGATGACAATCTGGGCAGCAATCCCACTGATGTGTTTTTAAGAATTTTGCTTACTGTCACCGAGGGGGAAAATCCAGCAGGTTCTTTTAAACTGTAAATATCAAGTTTCTGATATATCCAATTAAATAGATTTATAGAATTTGCACTGTTCGTATATATAAGAGAAGATAGCCCCGTCAAACCGATCTCACTTGCTATTGGTGAGATGATGTGCTTGATATCAAAAATCTATGATCCATATCCATACCCAAATTTCAGCAGGATGGTTAAGTATATGGGGCAAGTTATTAGTTGACCAAACCCACATCGCCTCCCATCCCTTCCTATTCTTTTTCTTCCTCCTCTCCCTTTTCTCCAAACCCTCTCTCCATTTTGCACAATTCATTCTTCTTCTACCATATCTTTATTTTCCATATTTACTTTCATTGATCACTGGGGTCAGCTTGAAATGTAAAATGTAGAAAAATAAAATTGGTCTTGTTGTATATCTTTCATTAATAGTATCATCATACACGGTTTTTTAATGTTAGGATATATGGCTATAGCACACATTAGACTCCATTCCTCCATTCCTGGTATCAGCACATACTGAGAAGGACATGAGTGGTTATCCGTGCAATTGAACAAAAGACTGTATTTGGCGTTAGCATGCTTTGCTTGGTAATGTCAAATGTAAACAATAAATAAAATGTACATCAATAGAAAGAAATAAATTATTGTGGATTTCTGATTGACAGCCAGAGAAGGAGGGGTCAGAACTCAAACAAAAAAAAACACACAAATAATTATCAAAGGAACTACATGGGTCCAACTTAAAAGATGAGATTCAAAGAGAAAGCAGGAGCTCTGCAATTATTTCTCAACATATGCCCCATAATGCATGTACTGTCTAACATAAAACCTCAGAATTTTTTACGAGCACAATACTTATGAACATACAAGTGCAGGTTATTTCTGTTGGAACAGAGAGAGAATGATGAATTGTGATTGTCAGCTCTGACTGATTTATTAAACCCCCTAAGTCAGTGCCCCACTTTCAGCTTATTCTTCAAGAAGCAAATCAACTATATAAATATATATGAATACTTTGCTAAATGTGCCTGTTCAGCAAGAAAAGGTTAGGATAAAAACTATTTTTTTCCCACATCATTCTTCATATTAGAACCTCGGTAGATGTTGATAAAATGTGATTTAAATGGTCTGTCTCAGGACTACTTAACAACATCTCACCCAGCTAAACCTTGCCTTCTTTTGGGTTAAAATCAACAAAAAACATAAGAAAGGGTAGCAGGATAATTTTTTTAAATTTAAAAAAACTATGTCATGCTTTAAATCCCATCACCGGAAGCAAACTGCAGCAGGCTGAGGTTCATGCAGAAATAAAGACTTTTCTATTTTAAACATTTTAGGTAGATTATGAATTCATGCAATAAATGTATCCACCTACTGTTATTTAAATTATTAAGTTTTTTATTTATAATTTAAAACTGATGTGAACACCCCAAAAAACATTGCAAATCCCCTGAGCATTGTCACAAATACACCTCTTACACACAGCCAGAAACATTTAAAGGAAAAGAGTCCAGATTTTATTCCATGTTACTGGGTTGTGTGTTTAATGAAATATTTATATTGTCCGGGAGGATGGGATGACATGGCAAGGCATTTTGTACAGTGTGAACCAAAGCAGTTTATTCTGTTATACTCTGATCACACAGAATATTAACTCCTTAAAGGACCACTATAGTGCCCCCACCCTCAGGGTCCGCCTCCTGCCGGGCTCTAGGGTGAGGAAGGGGTTAAACTTACCTCTTTCTCCAGCGCCAGGTGGGGAGCTCTCCTCCTCCTCTCCGCCTCCTCTCCTCCTCCTCGGCTGAATGCGAATGCGCGGCAAGAGCCGCGCGCGCATTCAGCCAGTCCATAGGAAAGCATTCACAATGCTTTCCTATGGACGCTGGCGTCTTCTCACTGTGAAAATCACAGTGAGAAGCACGCAAGCGCCTCTAGCGGCTGTCAATGAGACAGCCGCTAGAGGCTAGATTAACCCTAATATAAACATAGCAGTTTCTCTGAAACTGCTATGTTTATAGAAAAAAAGTGTCAACCCTAGCTGGACCTGGCACCCAGACCACTTCATTAAGGGGTTAAGATGAATCAAAACAAAACGTAAACAAAACCTGGAATTTGCGCCAAATGTCAGTTCAACCATAATTCACCTCTTTCATATTAAGTGCACCCACACTTATTATATATCATTTTGTTCAGGAGAAACTGGGCTTTCATTTCATTTAAAATATTTATATTTGAAACTTAATTTAATATGAATAAAATGTAAAGAACTTTGAGAAATTAAGAAATGTTGTTATTTTTTTAAGTTCAACGTGGCATTTTAACTGTGAATGTCATAATACTGTTTGATGCAATAAAATACAGGCTTTTTTAGCAGCCACTTAGTCACAAACCCTGGCCAAAATTTGCGTTCATATTTGTTTTTCCATTTTTTTTAAATGCCCTTTCACTGATGATGGTTTTATGGAGTTTTGAAAAGTTACAGGGTCAAATATAAGGTTTTCCCATTTCTGTTTGCCAGATTGGTTAGGTGGCCTATGCTGCCTTTGAGACTCTATGGCAGCCCAGTAATGGGAATTACTCGGATCAAGGCATACCATTCATAAATGTAGACAACTCAGGCTTTTCAGAATAGGGTAAGTATGGTATTTTGTAGTAGCCACTTAGTCACAAACCCTGGCCAAAGTTAGCTTTCATATTTGTGTTTTTTTTTTTTTTTTGCATTTTTCACACAAAAACGGTGCTTTTACTGATGATGATACCACCACCATTACAAGTTTTAGTGTTTTTAAAAAATTATATTTGTGTTCAACAAAGTCTTATGAGTACAACTGTACCCAATATGTACAGGTTTTATTGGGTTTTAGAAAGTTACAGGGACAAATATAGGGCTTTCCCATGTCTGTTTGTCAGATTGGTTTACTGGGCTCACGCTGCCTTTGAGATCGTGTGGCAGCCCAGGAATGAGAATTACCCCGTCATGGCATACTATTCATAAAAGTAGACAACCCAGGATATTCAGAATTGGGTAAGTCTGTTCTTTTGTAGTTCCCACGTAGTCACAAACCCTAGCCACAGTTATTTTTCACATTTATTTAATTTTTGCATTTTTCACACAAAAACTGCACGTTTACTGATGATAGCATCATCATTACAAGTTTTTGTGTTTTAAAACATTCATATTTGTGTTTAACGAAGTCTAACAAGTATAACAGTACCCCATATGTACAGGTTTTATGGTGTTTTGGAAAGTTACAGGGTAAATATAGGGCTTGTAAATTAAATTCGCTGGACTTTCTGCCTGGGTTGTTAGGCAGGTCCCTTGAATTATAATTAATTTAAAAAATTACACATCGAATATATATATATATATATATATATATATATATATCCACACTTTTTCCACACCACAACTCTTTTGGTATGTAATATATAATGTGTGTGTGTGTGTGTGTGTGTGTGTATATATGTATATACACACACACACACACACACACACATTATATATTACATACCAACAGAGTTGTGGTGTGGAAAAAGTGTGGATGAAAACTCCTTCCACCTGAAGTAAGTGGATAGTTAATACATTGCTAAACACAAATACGCATACCAGTCAAGCCATAAGACTTGCTTTTCCCACAGAAATCTCACTTTAACAGTTCTCTCACTACAGCAAGGGATTCTCGGTAGGCATATGCAAATGAGCTCCACAAATAACCACATTTTGGCCTCATAATTCCACTTCCTGAGTTGTGTTTCAAAGCTGTTGTATACAGTAGACACATACTCCAAGGAATCCATGTATAAAGTGGAATTATGAGGCAAAAATTAGGTTCTTTGTTGAGCTCATTTGCATACACCTACCCAGAATCCCTTGCAGTAGTGAGACCGCTTTGCGGCAGTGGTGTATCCTGGTTTTGTGCTGCCCTAGGCAGGACAAAACTCAGGCTCCCCCTGCCCCCCGCGCCACCCCCACCCAACCCTTCCCCCGGCCCCACCTTCTAAATACACACACACACAGTCAGACACAAAGACACACACACACAGACACAAACACACACACACAGACAAACACACACACAGTCAGACACAAACACACACAGACATAAACACACACAGTCAGACACACACACAGTCAGACACAAACACACACACACAGTCAGACACAGAAACACACAATCAGACACAAAGACACACACACACACAGACACAAACACACACAGACAAACACACAGACACAAACACACACAGACAAACACACACACACACAGACATAAACACACACAGTCAGACACACACACACAGTCAGGACAATAAACACACACACACAGTCAGGACACAGAAACACAATCAGACACAAAGACACATACACACACAGACACAAACACACACAGACAAACACACACACACAGTCAGACACAAACACACACACAGTCAGACACAGACAGACACACAGACACAGACAGTCAGACACACACACACAGTCAGACACAAACACACACACAGTCAGACACAGACACACACACAGACACAGACAGTCAGACACACACACACACAGTCAGACACAAACACACACAGTCAGACACAAACACACACACAGAGTCAGACACACACACACACAGTCAGACACACACAAACACAGACACACTCACTCACATTAACACTTTTTTCTCTTTCTCCCTGGGGTCCAGTGGCTGCCGGTCGGCTGATGGGCTGGCTGCTGTGCGGGCGGCTGGCAAAGGAGCACTTCCTCTGAGTGGTCTGCTCAGCTCCCTCGCACGCTGCAGAGTGAGGCTGGGAGCCGGAATATGACATCATATTCCGGCTCCCAGCCTCACTCTGCGGTGCGCGAGGGAGCTGAGCAGACCGCTCAGAGGAAGTGCTCCCTCGCCAGCTATCTGCCCAGCCCAGCATGTCTGTTAGCCACGAGGCTAACAAGGCATTTACCCTGGGCATTTGGGGGCGGCTTTTTTTGCTGCCCCATGAAAAATGCCGCCCAAGGCAAATGCCTTGTTAGCCTCGCGGCTAATACGTCCCTGCTTTGCGGCCATGTGATTGCGATGTCAGTCGCGATCACATAGCTCTGGAGGGCTGAAATTGAAGCTGGAGGACTGGCTCGCCACGGATCCCTGGTCCAGGTAAGTCTGCATGGACAGGGGAGCTAACGATCATTAGGGCTTACTATGCTGCTCTAACGGTGTTTAGGCTTACTAAACGTGGGGCGGCATAGTAAGCCCTAGCAGTGTTAAGGGGTTAAAACCACTGACAGGTAAAGTGAATAACATGGATTATATTGTTACAATGGCACCTGTCAAGGGGTGGAATATATTAGGCAGCAAGTGCACAGTCAGTTCTTGACTTTCCTGTGTTGGAAGCAGGAAAAATGGGCAAGCAAAAAGAAACAGTGTGCCTATAATGATCCTTGTTCACTGCCAAAAGTGCCTTCATTGGGGACATGAGCATCAGAACTTGACCAACTGCCTGCCGAAATCCCGGAAGAAGTTGTAGCAGTAATCAGAAATGGTTTCAGAGGTAAGTGTGTCTAATTGTTTTGATTATATCTGTGGTTCTCCTTAAACACTCCAATTGTGTTTGGCGGGTCCCAACCAAGACAGACCTATGGCCTTACTACGGCCTACTTGAAGTGGAGTGAGGGAGGCAGGCGATCCCTCTGTCACTGGATTCTCTGAAATCCGTAAGCCACTGTCTTGGCTTGTTCTCTCCCCCCCCTGCTGGTGAGGATTATCACGGCACCTATCTCTCATGTCTTTGTGGCTACACATCTTTGCAAGCAGGCATCCTTTATCTAGTGGCGGAGAAAGGCCACTCCCTCCACTCCGGTTATCAGGAGTCTCTTACTCTGACTAATCTGGACAGGTTGTTTGACGCTTTCTGGTGTGAGATCCAATGTCGATAGCAATCTCATCCTAGTGATGTGCAGATGACCGCTGTGCTAGCAAATCGGCCACAGGGGGCCACCTGTGCGGTTCTGGGGAGACATGTCTGGCTAGCCTGTCTCAGTAATATAAAATTGTGCAGTACTCTAGAATGCCATGCAACTGTTATCTCTTGTGTTTTCATGTACTTGCTATTGCTCTTTTGGCATTGCAAGCTTGTATGTACTTTCATGCACAGCAAAAAATAAATAAATAAATACATTTCCAGTACCCAAAATGAACCTTGCATGTGTGCAGGAAAATAAACAATGATTTATATAAACAACTGCAACGTGGTACAGCAGCAAAACATATTGGGAATTATATAAGACCAGTATTGAGGCGATGGTCTAAACTATTGAATCCTTATGACTTGTATACTGTTTATTTTTTCTTTGTCCTCTTTTTTTGTTCTTGTTTACTTTAAAAAAAGGTAAACAACCGGGTGTGTATGTGTAGTCGTTCCGGAAATAGAGACGTCATTAAGAAGACATCGTCCCGCTTCATGCGTCAGACATCATTACGCTGATGTCACGTTTATTGCGAAAATACAAGTTCCGATGGACATTTTCCTGGGCATTTTTGATTCTTTGTTATTATATTATAATATTTATTTGACACGTGTTCCATCACAGCTGATACTCCTCATATATGGGTAAGTGACACCTGAGTGTATTAATTTTTGACTGATTCTTTATTGATTAATTGACATTGTTAATCATCAGTTTCCCTATAAATTTTATTCTATGTGTGTGCTTGATAGCTTGACAAAGTCCTTAACAGGTCGAAACATTGCGATTTGGCTGTGGGTTAAATAGATTGCCATTTTCTTGACATCTGGAGTGCCTGGACCATTCTTTTTTTGTTCTATATGCCTAAATATTGTCTTCCGCCTATCTAAGCAACAAACCATACAGTTAATCAGTCCCCTCTCAATCATAGATTTATATTTTACGGGATGCCTTTTGTCAACCTAATGTTTCATGATTGCATGTATGCAGTTATCAAATCATAAGTGTTCTTTATGAGAAAATCATGTTATTTAGAAGCATAGGTTGTATTACGATATTGGATTTATTCACTTGAAGGTTGGGTGTAGTACGCAGGGCCGCCATCAGGGGGTGACAACCGTGACTGTTGTCACGGGCCCGGCGGCCCTGGGGGGCCCGGACTGCTCTGGCAGTCCTGGGCCCCACTTTGTTTCTCTGCACACATAGGTAGCGAATCTCGCTATCTATGTGTGCAGCCGCGGGCCCCTGGCTCCCTGTTACCGTCCGCAGAGGGGGCCCAGGCAGCACACAGCTTCTCCTCCTCTCCTCTCTCCTCATAACTCTCGCGAGACCCGGTTACCATGGCAACGCTCCGCGGGTCTCGCGAGAGTTATGAGGAGAGAGCAGAGAGGAGGAGAAGATGTGTGCTGCCTGGGCCCCCTCTGCGGACGGTAACAGGGAGCCGGGAGGGCCCCCATGCCACCGGGCCACCACAGATGGAAGCTCCCCCCTCCCTGGATACAGGTAAGCAGGGAGGGGGGAGAAACATTTAATTAAATTAATTAAAAATTTATGTTAAAATGCCCCTTCCTCCCCCTCCCCCAGATCACACATTTACACAACACACACAATACATACACTAACACAACACACACACTGCAAACACTAACACACAACACACACACACTGCATACACTAACACAACACACACACTGCAAACACTAACACACAACACACACACACTGCATACACTAACACAACACACACACTGCATACACTAACACAACACACACACTGCATACACTAACAACACACACACTGCATACAGTAACACACAACACACACACTGCAAACACTAACACACAACACACACACTGCATACACTAACACACAACACACACACTGCAAACACTAACACACAACACACACACTGCATACACTAACACAACACACACACTGCATACACTAACACACAACACGCACACTGCATACACTAACAACACACACACCGCATAACACCAACACACAACACACACACCCCACACACCAACACAACACACACACCGCAGACACACCAACACACAACACACACCACACCGCATACACCAACACAACACACACACCGCAAACACCAACACAACACACACACCGCACACACCAACACAACACACAATAACCGCAAAACACCCAACACAACACACACACCGTGACATGACCCGACAACGACCGACCAACGACACCGCATACACCCAACAACACACACACCGCATACACCAACACACACCCAGACACACCAACACAACACACCGTGACACACCCAACAACACACACACCGTGACACACCAATACAACACACCCATACACCACAACACCAACACACCACCGCATCCACCATACCACACACACCCGCCTCACACACCAACACACCTGCACCACCACACCAACACACACCTGCATCCCACTGCACAACACACACTCTGCATCCGCCACACACTAACACACTCTCTGCATTCACTACACTAACACACACTCTGCATCCGCTACACACTAACCAACTCTCTGCATTCACTACACATTAACACACTCTG